TATTCTTGAGTAATAACTAACCTTTCAAAACTATTTAGCCCATGATGTCAAGTATACTCCTTTGGAGTTAAAAATAAAACAATTTTATTCTGGTGTACTGAGATTAACACAGTAAAAAAAAATCAAAGAATATATCTTATTATAAATACAAACATAAAAATCTGTAAAAATGAATGGTTGGCAATTGTGTATTATTTAAAATTTAATAAATAATCAAAATCATTTTCATATTTATAGTTTTAAAAACTTTATTGAAGCCGTTAACAGCCTCCACTTTAAAAGCACACTGTACGTGAACATTATCTTGACGTCCTCTCCGTTGTCTTTAGGAGTTATTTGCAAGACAATCAGTTATACTTTTTCCCATGTCACGTGATAATACACTGTATTGTTATTTATGAAATTCCTTGGTCAATCTTTACAATAAATCATACCAAATATCAATGCACTGACTTGATGTCCTTCATCTTTGTTTAATACTTTTCTTTGGTTTTGTAATTTTATTATTTCTAGTGATTCTCCCACATTTAAAGCTATAATATTGTGTTGTTACACTAAAATTGTAGTTTTCCCCATAAAATTGTGTTTTGTTGTTTTTACGTGTTCTGCTTTTGCAGAGTTTTCTATTTTATTATTTCTTACATAACCTTTATGTTCCTGTAATCTGGTTACATAAGAAATAATAAAATTGAAACTTAGCTATAACAGAATACATAAAAACAACACAACACACAATTTCATGGGGATAAAAAAACAAACTACAATTTTAATTCAACCTCACAATATTACAGCTTTAAGTGTCAGAGAGTCTCTAGAAATAATAAAATTAAAAAACAAAAGCATTATACAGAGACGATGGGCCATAAAGACAGTGCATTGATATTTGGTGTGATTTATCATAAAGATTGATGAAGGAATTATATAAATAATAACGCAATGTGATATCACACGACACGGGAAAAAAAGTATAAAAGATTGTCTTGCAAGTAACTCCTAAAGACAGTGGAGAGGACGTCAAGACAATGTACATGTAGAGTGTGCTTTTAAAGTGGAGGCTGTTAACGGCTTCAACAAAGTTTTTAAAATTGTGTAAGTTCCAAAAATTGATTTTAATTATTTATTAAATTTTATAAAAATCTGTATGCTATCATCCTAAAATTACAACTGTTACATTATGTAGGATCAGCTGTCATTATCCAACAACTAGTATACTTGTCTGTAATTATACACCAAATGAAAAGGACCAAATTAAAATCAAACATATTAAGGGAAAAGCATGTAGGACAAAAGAAATACCAGCCCATTTTTAGTAACAAGCTTAAAAAATATGCTGATTAAGAAGCCTACACAAATGCAGAGACCATCAAAAAATTAACTATTAAAGGAAATCCGGGTTTTTCCAACTTTTCACCAGTTCCTACACTTAACTTTTTGTGCAACTGTAAAATATTATAAAGTTTAATAGTTATTTTGAAACAAGGAGCTTTTAATGAATTAATGCTGTTTTTTAGATAAAAAATGGTGCAGATATTTGAAGTTATTGAAAAATGTCTCCAAAATCTAAAATATTTGACTCAATATAGAATAAACATGGCACAGTTTTCGGATTTGATTAAAAAAAAAAATACTTCGGCAAATTTGAAATGTTAACTACTTCAAAGCCACAACATTAAATTTCAGTGATTCAAGGGTTTTGTAGGTAATCTGATAAGGAATGTAAATTTATATGCTGTGATCATTTTGCTATTACCTTTTACTTTCCAATAAAACAACAACAAAACTCCATAGTGATTAAACTACGGATTGAAATAGATTTCAAATCCTTCTTACATGAATTTGCACACTTTAGTCCTGCTGCATTTAAAAGATCCAGCAGAAAGGACCGTTTATCTAATTCATCTACCCATACTATCTTCTGAGTGATGTTTTCTGATGTGCTTCCAACGCGACCCACAGCAAGAAAAATGTAGTTATCTAAGAACTTTCTAGCCAGCTCCTAATAGATGATAAAAAAACAGAAAATATAAGTAACAGTTTACTTTGCCTGAAAAAGAGAAAAGAAGTAATAAATACAAAGGAGATGACATTTCAATTGAATTACACTTTTATCTACAGATCCTAGAAAGTCCAGTAGTATTTTAAAATGAGCGTTTAAGTCTACCAAGCATCAATTGTGATTTTTCCCGTTTTCCTTGTCTTAACTACATGATTTCTTATAGTTTTGTTATTTAACAAGCTTCTGTATGTAATCATCATCAACTCTATACGTCAGTAAATGTTTTGGTGTACGTGTAGTCAGCTACAAGCACTTTTTATGCATGTATGTTAAGGCTTACTGATGATTAAATATTTAAGCACAAAAATAAGTGGTTTAAATACAACCAACATTTCTGCTGTACTGTGCTAGTTTTAAATGAAATAAGAAAATAATGTTTTCATTTTTGAAGGATTGGTAGCAGTTAAAGAAATACCTACTGCAAATATGATACGAACAAAACAGTATGAGTTAGTATTATGGGTCTATTCAAAACCAGATGAACATATCTTTACAAGCCCGCATATATTCAGCAACTATAAACCCAAACCAAAATTCCACATACTTTCATCATTTATTATATGCTAAACACAACAGTAACATTTACCTGTACTTTTTTTGGAAATGTTGCCGAAAACATCAATGTTAGCCTATTCCCTGTTGGTGGCATGTTGTGTTCTAAAACAATGCGATGAATCTGTGGTTCAAAACCCATGTCTAGCATACGATCTGCCTCATCTAACACCAGGTACCTTGAGGGAGAAGGAACATTATTAGAATAAAGAGAAATGATATTTAAATGTGTTTCTGAAAGTAAAATGTACAAACTGTGTAGCTGCTGATAATCTAACATTATTAGGTTGAATTGGAACAAATATTTTTTATAACTCTTTATAAAGAAAAAGTTCAACAGCAGTAAAGCTCATACAATTATTTCTTTCATAAACTTAGCTTTAAGCTGAGATCCAAAAATAACGTAGATGATCTAGCAACACTAAATAACCATACTTATGGTATCAGTGAGCGTGGAAATAGCCCAAGACAGGTCCATCTTATAAAGTATAGAATTTTATGTTGTAATAAAAACAGTATCAAGAAACAATGCACATTTATCAGGAAATTCAAGCTTCTGGTAAAGTTGAAAAACTTGAGATTTTAAGGCAATTTGCATTGAAAGATGAGTTTTAACTAACTCAACAGAGCACAAATATGTTTTCAAGTAATAAACTAAGTGGTATCTAAACACGGGTAAAAATGGATTTTATTATTTGCTGCTTTAAGTTAAAGCTCAAAATTCTGGCTACAAAAGCTTCTATCTATTCAAGAATGCATTATAGGCAAATGTATTTATTTTCATGTAATACTTCAAACATATTTTGAGTTGGTGTTTTTTTGAAGTCATTTTTAAACAAGTTTGCCATTACAACAAAGTCAAGATAGTTCAGATTTTTTTTTTACACATATTAACATCTTTCCAACAGAGCTAACATATAAAACATATTTCATGTAGTTATTCATCTGTAGATGAAAATCTGAAAATGCAACCACCGAAGATGAGATGTTGTGATCGCTAGTTAAGTATTCCTCTTACTCATAACGTATTTTTGTATTTTAAATATCAGAGAAGCTTTTTTTTGTGTGTGTAAATATAGTTGTGACTGTCCAAGGTATTCATGAGTAGTGAGAATAAATGTAATCAACAAATACAAAACATCACATACAAACATCTTAACTTTGCCATCACTGCTATGGCTATCTTTTTACAGATGGGGTTGAGAGTTCCCACCAGGTTTATCATAATTTTCCATGAAACACTAAATATACTGATCTGTTATCCTATTCTAAAAATGCATGTAATTAAGTAGTTTTAAAAAAGATCAGGAAACTAAACACGCTGAATTTTTTCTCCTTCTCCACAAACAACTATTTTTGTAATTTTTTATAGCTGTTTTTTTCTATTTTTTTAGTTAAATTTGAACCATAAGCTTAGCACTCCCAAAAGTTAATTAAGTTGTTTCTACATTCCATCAACTATTTTTTTAAATCTTAATATCCATACAGCTTGATTGGCTTTAATTAACATTAAAAATTTTCAAAATATCCTTCTCTCTGACATAAATGCTTTTATAATTTATTTTAACTGGTTTTTAATGTTAACAAGCAAAAAGATTATGATTTCACTGTCCAAGCTGTTTATTCAGGTAGTCACACCCTATCAACTCCAACATTAATTACAGAAGATTTTTTTTTTACCAAATTATCCATTTGAAGTGAGAAAATTACAATTATTTATTATAATTATTCTTTCAATTGGTATATTTAGATTTGCATAAATTGTGTAACCTTATTTTGCCATAAGTTTTCGGGCATCTTATATAATTATTGGTTTTACACTGTCCTTTTTCAAAAATGGGAACCAGTCAAATTCTCAAAATCTCTTCAGACAGTGCCCTAAATATGAATGCAACCAATAAATTAAGAGATGGGCAACCAAAAATACTGAAATGTGATTGGCAAGCAAAAGTAAATAAAAGTTTAGAAGCCACAACAAAAACTAAGTGTGATGTTTACACGCATGAAAGAAATGTAAATTTGAAAATTGATTGAATTTTTTATCTATGAAACTAAATGTCTATATATAATGCTTAAATACCAATTTTGCAAAATCTATGAATATTTCTTAAATAGATTTTTAAAGCTGATTTGAAAGTGACCTGAATTCCAACTGGTCAGGAAAAGGTTAATAGTTGGATTAAACTTTAATTACTGTTAAGTATTAAATGTAGATATAATACTGAACAGCCCATTATATAAGCTATGGGTTTTTGACCAATTGAAACAGATGTAACAGTTTGAAAGAGGTTGTGGTCAAGAAAATAACTCAAATTCCATGACACAAGGTAAGCTATGATGCTATTTGAACAACAGAATATTAGTAATTGGAAACTCGTGATCTTCAACGATGACTCTTTTCAATACAATCTTAGATACAGGACTAAATTATTACCCTCCTATTTTCTCAAGAGGATATAAAATAAGATAATTCTACTTAATTACCACTGTTAATTCTAATACTTACTTCACAAGTTCCAAGCTAATTTTTCCCCGTTCCATCATATCTATCAGTCTTCCTGGTGTAGCCACCAATAAATGGCAGCCCCTGTCTAAGTTCTTCATTTGCTGAATGGGCTCAGCTCCTCCATAGACAACACAAGGTTTTACACGAGAGCGATAAGCAAACTTGGATGATTCATCATAAATCTGACAAGCCAGTTCTCTTGTCGGAGAAAGAACTAGAGCTAGTGGGTACTGCTTAACACAAGTAGCGAACTTTTGTGGCTGTAAAAATAATTAAAAATAAATAATCAACATTTTTGCAGAAAATATAATTATTTTCTTTTTACAAAGAGTCTATTCTCCAAAGATCACATCTTTCAAGATTCACTCAACACCTTTCCAGACTTGGTTTCATGATTGGTAAAATATTCATAAATATTTCTATATGTATAGTCAGAAATGTGGTATAAATTTCTTTCTGTGACATTTTGTTTCATAGTATCATATACTCCCAGCCAAGATGCATTGACATAAAATCAGGGTTACCAACTTTTCTTCTTCTACTAACCATGAAATCATAACTATATATCTTATAGTACTATCGCTTTAAACAACATTTTTCACTTCTAAAGATTTAGGAGATACATTAAACCAGCCAGAAGCTGTAAATGAAAATTTTGTATACATAAAATTATTTTCACATTAGAACTTCTTTGTAGTGATTTACATTAATTTTCATTTAACCCTTCTATCACATAATCAGATTTCATGGTCAGTACCCAAGCAATGCCATTTCTCCATCATAAAGTAGCAGAATATTTTGCTGTAATATGCATTATGATATACAAGATACACATTGCATATCTTGACATAATGGCATCAATAACTTATCTAAATTATGGTAAAAATACAGAGAAAGTATGACAATCAGCTGATATTTCTGTGTGTGGGTGCCTTGCATTGTCTACCAGTTGGGGCTACAGCTGGGGGATTGTTTATACTTGTGTTTCCCACTCACACTTCCAGATGTCAACACACCCACAATGTCTGGCATTTAATTCAAGCTCAAGGAGGGTTGTCATTTCTCACTAAAGAGGGAAAAGTATGTTGACGGCTATGGATAAAGTCAATTTCTGCTGTCAACAACAATCTGTCGACTATAGTCACTTTTCTGTAGTGAAAGGGTTAATTAATGTATGTACAAGGATTCTTTATGTAAAAGGGATTAAATTAATTTCACTTTTCTCCGCATTATCATTTTCATATGCACATTCAATAAATTTGCTACGATGTCAATTTATAGCAGTTTAAACTTCTCTCCTTATCACACCTACTTTCTATAGTTATTTTATTGTTAGCAGCTGACTTAGAAAGTTGGGGAAAACAAAATAAACAGTACTGTCTGTTTATCCAAAAACACAGAGAACTGTCGAACGTATTATATAAAAGTGCAAACAAAATGTTTGTTATGGCTTTGTCTGGGCCAATCAAATAAACTTGGTATGTATTTCAATGTTAGTTACCCTTCCAACGTGGTCGATAAGTAGACATTTCTTACACAGTCTATTTGAATCCTGGCTCCGAGAACACTGTGGAGTAGGTTTTATTGCCTTGTTTGCAGTACAGTGGTTGCAATGAGAATTGTCTAAAGTACTATTTAAAAGTGCAAAAAATATATGATACGTCTCTGTACAAAGTCTGATGTGATCCAATAAACTAATTAGGTATTTGTATGTTAGTTATCCTCCCAGGATGGTCGGGATTTAGTGGTATAGGTGCAAAAGAGTGTAAGTGCTTATGAACATCCCGTTTCCTATTTTACCATGCTTTCACAGTAACAAATAAATGCTTAGTTTTCAGTAATATAATACCATTCCAGTAATGCAGAGGGGAAGCACATTTTTTTAAATGTGGAACTTTTACAGGTGTAAAATGGATTGACAAACAAGAAATTTATGCCCTTTCCACTTTTCACTCTTATGACATCCGTGACTAAAAGAGGGAGGCACATTGAGGTTACAAAATCACAGATGACTGTGGACTACAAATAAATACTTCATATTAAATTTCAGTTATTTCTCTTAAAACATAGATCAGTAAATAAAATATAGAGAACAACGACTCCTACTAATTACGATGTCACCAAGTTCTTTTATGCACTTCTGCATCGTACTTACTAACCCTTGTCGTAAGCCTAATCAAATTTTGCATGTGGAAGTGGGAAAAAAATTCATTTCTGTAGACTTTATATATGCATTTTAGTATACCTAAAAATTATAAATTACTATATTTATAACACAAAAATCTATTGTAATTTACCAGGCTTCCTAACTAAGCTGTATTTTGGTCTAAAAAAAATGTAATTTCTGCTCCGAAAATAATCTTGATCATAATACTTCAAACTCTCCAACAATATAAAAGCTTTCCCCTCATAACTAATTTACAAAGACTAGCAAAATTACATAGATTAAAATTAGTTTTCAATTGGTTATAAACATGTAGTTAAGAAAAGTAGGTGTATATAAACAAGTCTTTTCAAATGATGAAGTTGTGGGCAGTCCCAATGTGGTGGGTTTCCTAAATATCATATCTCAGCAAATAGATAATGTAGAAAGTTCTTATTTTACATTCTAGCTTGTCAATATTGGTAATTTGAGTTTCTAATTCATAAAGAAACTATAGACATTGTATTGTGAGCAACATAAAATATAATCTGATCAAAAGCCGAAGACAACATACCACGCGACTCACAAAAGTTTTTTTTTTCCTTCATATACCTACTTATAAGTAATGTATGATACTAAAACTTGAATCATATAAACTACAATTTGATGAAATATTTATAAGGCTTAACACTATGGCTACCGGATACTAATTTTTTTAGTGGGTAATGGTGCTCTCATTATATTTCAAAAATAAAACTAGCATAGGAAATTGTTTAAAATTTAACATGAATGTTCCTAAAAGTATGTAGTTTCAGAAAAATAAAACATTTAATTTTGATTTTTTTCTACTATTTCTAATAAAAAGTTCATTATTTAATGGAGTTATTTGCACTCATACTTTGAATAGTTCACCAGCAAGATGATTTTTATATGAAGTATAAAAATACTATTTTATATCTTACAGTTTTCACATTTCATTTGCAAAATCTCTAGAACCTCATAAATGAATAAAGTTCTTTTTAAGGTAAATATTTATATTTTATTTTCCATTTTCTCTACTATATCTACTATCATTAACATACAGCACAATGAAATGTTTAAAATTAACAAATGGAAATATGCACATACCTCCCAATTCTTCATAGAAATCCACTAGAATAGTCTTTTTTTTTTTTATGTGCATAATTTCAAGTCTTTATCTTTCCATTTAGTTTATTTTTAAATTACCTTTCAAATTCTTCATCTATTATCATTTATGCCAATACATTAACTGATGCCAGAGGGGCTTTACGAAGGTATTTTAGCAGACACCCCGCAGAAATGCATTGCCAAAACAAGATGGTGCGTACACACACCATCTTGTTTATAACCTTTCAAAATCCAGGCAACAAGTTAAACTTATAAAAGTCATTCAACTATTCAAATATGATCTTTAAAACATAACACAACACATAATTAACTAAAATATAAATGCAAGAACTAAATACACTTGTGTCAACTAACAACATGTACACTGTAGATCTCAAGTATAAAAGGTGAGCGTGGCAACCGTCAAGTGGTTTCATTAAGTTTTGAAACTAACAACAGTAGTTAGAGGGCCATAGGGTTCAAAGAGTGTTAAAAACGTCTGAAAAACCTATATTACTCCTAGTTTATAAACAGAGATAGACTTAAAACTATAATGAAATCCTTCCTTTGAGCATACATTTTTCATTGATCTATATTTACTTAATTAACCATCGATAGAGTATAGTGTAAACAGAGCTCTTTCTAAAGACTATATACACTTGTGTCAATTAACATGTAAATTGTATATCTTAAAGCAAAGTACAGAAGGTGGGCATGGCAACAGTCAAAAGTTGGAAAATTTATATCTGATTCCCAGACAACCCAGTTCGCAGACTTATAGAACTCGCATGTCAATTAGGTCAAACATAGGTACTTAGTGTATAGAAACTCCTATACATGCCAGCTTGTCTGTTTAAGAAATAAATGGTGCTAAAGTCAAAATTTTTCAAAGCTTGTGGATCATGAGACATGAAACCTTTGGTAATTTTTTGAAAGGTTTCCTTTGAAACAATTAATTAAAGCTTAGATAACATCAAAATTCAAATTATAGCATAATGTTAATTTCCTTTTAATATGTTGATATTGAAGTGGTTTAATTAAATTTTGAAGGAATGCAGTATCATACGCAGAAAGGGAATTTAAAAATGGCACTAAAGTGTTAAAAACGTTTGAAACCTAGATTCCTCTTCTTAGACTATAAAATAAAAGTGACTTAAAACTGTAACAAAATCTATCTTTGAGCATACATTTTCTATTGATTTGTATTTACTTAATTAAAATAAATTAATTAAAAAATTATTTTTTTTAAATTACAACATGTATAAAAGATTAAACTTTAGGATTTAGTGTAACTAAATCAACTCTTTGTTCACATTCTGAAAGTTCACATACAAAATTATTGGTTGTTGATTTGAAATTCTCTTTTTGATATTAATTTTGACTTTATTTTTTCAGAATTCTTTGGATGAATGAAAGATATTTAATTATACCTATAGAAACAGTATGATATAGTTCATAAACAAAACAACTATTTGCACTAATTGCAGTAAAATGTTGAAAGTTCATCATAAACTTATCAACGAAAGCAAGGATACAAACATGTTACTGTACATACATAAAACTTACTTCTGGTAAGTCCTTTGGTGGTCCATTTTCATAGATATGGTTAAGAATGGGAACTAAAAATGCTGCAGTTTTTCCAGAACCTGTTAAATAAAGAAAAAATTTAAATCATATATTTCGCTTAGATATCATGAGTGACTAAAATTTCACATAAATAATAACTTCCAATAAGAGTAAACCATGTGCAGTATAGTTAATTAAATATACTTTTCTTATGTTTCTACTTAGAAAGATTAGAATGCATCGTTTACCCTCACTGTTAAACTATTTTCAAGGTTCAGCCAGCTTAGAAGATTGAGATTAGTCCTGGATACAAATTATATTCTAAGCTAACAATGCAAAACAATCTTTATAACAAAAGTATAATAAATAAAAAGTAACGACATTTGATATATTAAATAGTGTAACTAATACTGTTAATAAAAGTAACAATAAATAAATAAAGTATACCTTACTTAATGAACACAGAAACACTAGCTGTTGACTTGAAGTAAATTTCTTTGGAAATTGTAACCTTGCTCTCCACCTCACCCTAGCGCCTTTTTGACCAAAGAAACTCATTAAGCCACTCCCCTACTGTATAACATCAGTGGCGAGTCACATCTGTGACAATTTAAGACATATGTTACAGTTTAAACTGTGTCAAGTTAGTAGCAGTAATTTTCCCAAAGTACAACCAAAAACTAATGTTTATGAAGATATAAAATATCTGAATTAACCATTATAAGGTAATAACAAAATATCTTACTATTCCATCTAACAAACACGCAGGGTTGGCTACAGGAAGTAACAAATAATATTAAATCTTTGCGTAAAAGCCAAAAAGGAAACAGCAAAACTCTAGAAAGAAGAAAATACTACAAAATATACATAGTACAGAAAGATACAAGAGGCTTTAATATGTAAAAGAAAGTAAACAAAAAAGTAATAAAACAAATGACGTAATGTCATACTATACACAGAACTTTTATATAGCCAGTATTAACCATATATAAATTAAACTAACAGGAAGTGAATCCAATGGTTGTCAATACACTGAAGCTGTTCACTATTACCCTAAACAATAACCCATGAAATTAAAGAGTGGACACGATGGTTTTTAAAAGGTTGTGATACTCTGTAAAACTTCTAAACCCATAACCTGTAATACAAATACTGTTGAATCTCCCAAAAAATTGAATGAATTCTGTGTTTAACCTTCACAATAAGAAGCCGTGATTATAGAAAACGACAGTTCACAAGATCTACCCACAAAATCTTGTAATGATAAATAATGAGAAATATGCAGTAGGCTACTCTGAAGCTGATAATCAGATACGAGTGTTCTCTTAGAAAAGCAGAATAAAATATCTTAACAAGCTAACCTACGAACAGGTAACAAAATTTCATTACTTCCCTGACCAACACCTTTGGTCCAAACCCATTGAGAGTGAACAGCAAATTATTGATCTTACAGTTTGAACAAGGCAGATGATCATGTGATTTATATAGTGTCAATTTGCTCTTTCTATCGATTATAACATGTCCAATAGCACGGTCAGGGGGATTTCCAGACAATTCTTAAAAGAAAGATGGTATATGAGGGGCATGTCAGTATATATTGACTCAGTAAAGCAATAAGGTTAAACATTTATGTGTGTTTCTAATTGATTGAACCATCTGAAGCACTGGTAATGGAAAAAGAAATCACAACACTACCATGTCACATAACTGAGAGTTTCAGACAGTTGAGTATTTATTTAAACATTTATTTTTAAAATTAAGAAGTTAAAACTGAGATGCCATACTTATTTACTTATACTTATAATAGTTATTCAAATTTTGAAAGTAACTCTTTAAAACATTATGAAATGCAACTTTGACTCCCACCAAAATCCATAAGTTTAAAAGTATGAACTTACAACACAAATAGAAATACTTAAACATATAAATGAATAAAATTAGTCTAAAGCAAAATAACATCTCCAAACAGTCTTGTATTCATTATAATATAATTTAAGAATAATCTTAACAGTATTTTCATTTATATAAATAAAAATAGAACATTGTAGCATTAATTATAATTAATTTTGTCAAATCTTACCTGTCTGAGCACATGCCATTAGGTCCCTTTTTGCAAGGATAATTGGAATGGCATATTTCTGAACAGGTGTAGGCCTCGAATACCGGGCTAATTCAATGTTATCTCGGATAATTTCTGTCAAAGTACATTCATCAAACTAAATGGGATAAAAGTCAAGGTAATGTAAATTATATCAGCAACTACACATGGTATATTTCAAAAATACAATATTTCTGAAGAGTAACTTCTTAAAAATTGTTTTTGATATATTACTATTACAGATTCGAAGTAATGCTTAAGTAATTATATCAAGAACGAGCAGATCAATGCATTAAAAACATGATAAAAAACAAAATGTTCAGGCTGACCAATGGACTTTTAACCCTTTCTGGAGCAGAGGGATGTCACTAATATCCCAATCCTTTTTTTTTCCTTCTCACAGTGAACTACTTATTCAAATTACATGAAATTTAGTACAAATTTTCTAAACAGTATCTAGTTTCCGTATAAACAAAATTCATATAATTTGAGTATTTATGTAATTCATGTTATGAAATATATATAATTTTTTTTGTGAGACAGTGTTTTGAAGTAGAAAAAAAAACACATTAACTCTTTGACTATGAGATTGGGTGCACTGCACTCTGTATGTAACCACCAAAGTAACCATGAGAAGTCATACTATAACTTTTCATAATGTAGACATATCTCCACAAAATTTTACAGATTATTCATACACATTACAAGACTTTCATACTCAAAATATCAGATTTTTTGATTAAACATTTGGTTGTTAAATTTTTTTTTGGTAATGTTGACTATCTAACATGGAAAGTAATTTTGATTAAACATTTGGTTGTTAAATTTTTTTTTGGAATGTTGACTATCTAACATGGAAAGTAATTTTGATTAAACATTTGGTTGTTAACTTTTTTTTGGAATGTTGACTATCTAACATGGAAA